GTCATTTTCGAACGAAAACTGAGTGGTAAGGTTCAGTGTCAGCATTTACGGTGAACTGCATATTTCAGTTGGGCGTATACCACCAACTTATCCCTATGTGGACAAGAGCAACTGATTTCAAGTCCAAAGTTAGGCTAATTTCTTGCACTCTTACATAATCGTTTCCAACATTTTTTAATCAGCAATGTGGCAAACAGATCTCCCGTAATGCACATATATATGCATATCAAGGTCATCCGCTCTGCTCCTGGAAAAGCCTGTGGTAAATGCTGAGGCTAACCTTGATGTTCTTCGCCCGGATTGCGGCCTCAAAGTGGCAGGTGCAATATGGACGAGGCCACAGATCAAATGTATCGGATGAACTGTGTAAGGCCTGCACTTTTGCAATGTCGGTTGGGTTATCTGGGGGGGAACTCGCGGTAAAGTCCATCCACACGCACACAGCAAGGTCTATTCGGAATGCACTTTTGGTTTTCAACACAGTTGCCACAGCAGCCATCTGATTTCAAGGGAAATTCTCACCTGCCACATCAGAATGACCTTAATNCCCCACGGTTGAATAGGGCGTGATGATGAGCAGAGAGGTCAAACAAATGGTCGGTTCTTTGAAGCAAAGTGCTTTGATCACGTGACAGAGTTGGATCGCTTGGGCTCCGCCAAAGATGGATCACTTCCGCGCAACCGTTCTATAGCGTACTTGTGCTGTTTTATAACGGGTGAATTTGCTAGTTATTAAACATTTTGATGGTGAGGAAAGTAGTAGAGCCGTGTCTCTCTTGGAGAAAACCGTTCAACCTGGAAACAAGCATTTTGCAGTATACCATAGAAAAGTCAAGATGGAAACCTAATAGAGTGCTGGTTGTTTGTTTAAGTCAGCTGAACAATTCATTGACCGTTGAATAGCTTTGGAAGAATGGTGAAATGTTTCATCTCATCTCTAAGGAATTATTGATGATGTTTCCATGGTGCTAAACTGATTTGTGTTGAGCATAAGGAGTTCTCGCTGTGGAAGCACAATGTCATTGCAATCAGTCCTCACTGGGTTGGCTACTTTAGACTTCTGAATGCGGTGATCAAATTACTGATACAGGATGGCCAGAATGGCGAAAGAAATCATTTGGTTTTATTTAAAACCTTGGCTGTGAATGTTTAACGTAATGTCTATAACCTTAAAATTTATCACATGTTACGTGATAACCTTTTTTATGAAGTGTTTAGGCGTCCAAGTGTATCCGCAATAACTGAACTTGCTCGCCTAACATGTAAGCAGTTGTCAAATTCAATCGGACGACGGCATCGTTCCTCTTTTTCTTTCGGAGCAACAAAATGCAAATGATCTCCATCTGATGACTATTCTTGTGGCTTTCCTGGTCTGAGGCATCAAGGCAGACGCGTCGGAACACGCGGCAGTGTGATATTCTCTCTCGGATGAGTGCTGAGTGTCACACCCTGTGGTTGACCCTAATTAATCCACCATGACACTGCCCGATGTGCTCAGACAGTTTCGGTTGGCTTCAGTCGCATTCTGCGAATTATGGATGAAAAAACACTGTGTTTATCACAAACGCACAATGTTGTGTTCGCGGCCCGGACAGCACTCGCATCGCGTCTTCCATAGCCGGATTGAATAGTCGAAAAGAGATCGTCATCATCATCATCCAACAGCGAAATACAGTGAAGTGAACTTCACTGACCACTACCAAACTTGCATTGAATGCATACAAGATTAGTGGTAAAATTTAGGACCCACAGGGAAGGGAACCTACTTTAAGGAAGGGCGAGGAAGGTGAACTACTGTGATCAATACACAGAGTGCACAATCGAAATCTGTATACGTACTGTTTCAAGCGTTCTGACCTCATAGGAAATGACAACAAGATATCCATTGCTATCAGTCCGCTGCCATTTTCATCAGTGTCTCCAACCAACCAGTTGCAGAGTCTTTCGAACACAAACTTGGAAGGCGAAAGCACCTATTCTACCTAATGGCTCTGTTCATTTCCTCATGCCTCCTCTCCAAGTCATCTGTTGACGTACAAGTGTTTTCCTTCAACCCGGGGTGGCTACAGCGAACATAGCGCACACACAATGTGCTCAAGCTTTCATTCTCACCATATACGATTGAAGTTCTAATTGGTGAAAATTTTATCACTTTCAAGTCATCAGATCAGCGTCCGTGCTCAAAATTCTGTCTTTCGCACATTCCACTTTGGATATTTGCAGTTTGTGGTCTGGCGAAGGACGGCTTGCGGTGCAAATAACTGGCTGACCAAAGGTTAGCTTCATTCAGCAAATCAACGTTTCCCTTGGAGACACCCACACCAAAACCAATTTTATTAGGAAAATATATGTAAAATAATTCCACCAGGGTTGACACATGCAGCACAGTCCTGGAAAGACAACCCCATCAGCCTCTACCCTATCATCGGATGCGTGTCTCCAGGTATAAGCGTACGGGATGGGCTACACAAACATCTCATCACAAAACACAAAAAATGTTTGCTACACCGAACCGCAGAAAACGTTTTTTTTAATTTACAACGGAATTCCTCGTCAACAAAAGACATAAACACACACACATATATATGCATCCAAACTTCATGACTCTTGACCCATCACCCGTGCTTGTAAAACGCGAAATCAAACTAAAACCCTTTCAGAGGCACGTTTTAGATAACAGTACCAATTTGGTGGCATATTCTCGAACCAGACTGTTACGCTTTGTGCACACGCAAAACAGCCCACATCCGTAGACCCATTAGAGGTTCTCAATCGTCTTCATACAACACAATCGGGGAAATGAGGACATGAGTCAACTGGGTTCATCTTCAAACAATTGTTTGCTCGTATCGATTGATTAAGGCAAAATTATAATAGAAATTCTCATCCACTTTCATTGACTGATCGTCTATTGTTTTCTGACAATCTTTTTCTTTCATTCACTCAGTCATTCATTTTACTTATATTAAACTTATCGATCGATTCGAACTCCCGTGCTTATTATTAGTATTATTTCAACGTAACAAATGGAGCTATTTCCGGGGATTTGGTGGTTGCTACTCGCCTGTACAGAGATAGTGTGTCAGATACCACATCTTTATCAGCAAGAGAACGCTTCTAATTACTCTTTATCCATAGTTTCATTACCACCAATGTCGTAGGCTAGTTAGTTCATTAATTTTTGAAATCCATCAAATATTGATCACACCCTGAATGACGAACGGAGTGGGATAGCTAACCAACTGTCATTCTTGCTAATGCTTTTCCATCCAGGTTTGAGTTGGAATACAGTAAAATATTTGATTTTCCCCGAGGAATTGGAGTTATTCATGAGTTAGCTATTCCCATCACTAATTGAAAGCGGATTGGAGCTAGGCTCGAATTTCTATTGTTGCGTCGCAGATACATACAAATTGCATGCATAATTTCAACAATCAGAACGCAGACATAGGCGAACGTTTTTCTGGTAAGTTGATTCTCATTCCATAAAAATAACCTATATAGAAGAAAATAACGACATGGTGATGTGTCGGGGTCAAACAGTCCCGGTCACTGTTGTGAGGGACAGACAGGCTTGTGTCTATCGTGCTCCTGTTCAAATTTGAATTGGTTAGGTAATCCAAGGCAATTCATTCGGGTTTCTACTCTCCATCACTCCTCACTGTTATTGATTGGCCCCGATCGTTTAAACCCAACACAGCACCTCATTCTTTTCCCGCATCGAATATGTTTGAATGGCTTTGGAATGAAAAGATATGTATTCGCTTACGATATGTTTTTTTGATTACAATAGTGGGATTATTTTGTGGTTTACTCGACCAGAATGTGACAAAAAACCATTGGATTCTGAACTGGGCGAATTCCAAGATGACCGCTATTTTTCATATTTTTAGATGTCCATAAGGACAGTCCCTTAAGCGCGATTTCCTCCAATTGAGCAGCAGATAGATAGAATAGTGGCCATTTTCGATCCGATCTACGGACAACAGTTTGGTCGTGTTTACCTCCGGCTTTCTCTTTTATCTGCTTTCAAGGTGGATTCCATAGATATTTTATTTTCGGTATTGGTTTCCAAACGCCAGGTTCCCGCAACCTGATTGGCCAATTATTGTCATTTTTAGTTGGTTTACAAATAGAATACAAAACTGAACTCAGTCCGCTATGGACTAATTTAGCTTTACTATATCAATCGATTTTACCCTTGGATTTTTTATATCGTTATGTGAGTCCCACTTCCCCCACTCGAGAACTGCGTTGAACGCACTAATCGGTAGCAATAAGACTTACGAACTGCTTCTTCTGCATTCATTCATACGCCTCCTTATGATGCTGAGTTGAGTTCGTGCGAAGAACCGTGACTTGTTTACTGCATTCACACACGTCGATTACTGTTTCCTTTTACACCGAATTTCTTTAGGCTTTTTCCCAGCATTACATAGAAAGCAAACAGGAGTTCCAGAAAACTGTGCTCCGTATATTTTACAACATGCATTACATAGTGAAATTATTATTCACGCGATTTAATTAGATGGTATTTGTCTTCATCCATTCATCCGACAAGAATTTATGCATAAACCTTCTATTCGGTCATAATTATCAAGCTTCCTGATGCGCTCCAATCAGGAAATCGGGTGGGGGGGGGGNGGAATCTTAAACTAATGCAGGCAAGTAAAAATGCGTTGAGAATCGTGTTTGTTCCGGATTTAAAGTCGACAAAGCAGCCCAAATGACAAATGACCAGTGAATTTCACTTTTACACGAGGGATTTCGATTCTGGATGTGTTTGTTAAAAGAATTGTACACAGGGTCCAGTTGTCTATCTCACCTACTAACTTGAAAGATACAGAACAGATATGTGTGGTTGCTAGATGACTTAAGCCTTTCTAGACGGTATCCGAATTCAGTACTTTTTTCGACAGCAGACAGACAGACAAACAGAGACAGATAGACAGATACGTTAACGGATTTTCCTCCTCATCTTCCTTTTTGCGCACTGACAGCACGATGAACGCAAGTTCAACACCATGTCCGATTACGGCTGGGGTCCATCTGGGCCGAAAGTTCGCAATCACACACTGACCGCAATGAAGCCCAACACAATATACGAATTCGGGCTCAATTTGATCTACCTAAACGACACGTTTGGTCAATTTCCCTCTGCTGGAACCGGTCAAATTTGTGCTTGTAAAACACACGGTGAGTTTTTACGTTTGCATGATTGCTGATCATTGTCGTGCTCGAATCTGACAAAAGTAAGTAACTAATACAACAGATATCAAACGGTGGACTTTAAGGATCCATGAATGTTCTACTCTGACTGTCTGTGTGATAGCTTCTGTCTTCAATAGATCCCTCGGAAACAATCTGCTTGATCGGAAAGCAGAACTCTCTGATTAACTCAAGGATTTTTCCAAGAACCTGATGAAAATTCGATCACAAACCAGTCCGATCTTCAAAATCCGCTCAACTTTCTCGAATTCTTCAATGATGTTGCATTGAGCATCTCAAGACCCTTTGCATGCATTTTTCATTTTGTTTTTTTAATGCCTGATTTTTTGGCCAGATTCGTTCGCATGAATAACAAATTTGACATAAAGGTTGGATAACTTTACTCCTTGTTTGAAAACCCGACAATCTGCACTGCTTGGGAATCAGGTTTTACAGTTGAGAACATTTGAGATCCCCTTTATGCAGGCCGTTGGTTTCCGAAACACACAATGAACGATTTTTCAGAACTAATCGGAACGACTTGAAAAGTCTTTATTAAGTCGAACGGGTATTACGGAATCCGGACTAACTACTTGTGAGCATTACCGAAACCGTGGAACACAGGTACAATGTCGTCAAGTCAATTCGAACTAAGCCAATACACCCGAACGGTCCATTTTATGTGATCTTTTACGATAATACAGTGGAAAAGTGGGAGAGGATCACAGAACAATGTGACTAGAATGAACAAAAACGACTGCCAACTACGAGCAAGAAGTCGATAGTGATAGATTAAAAATTAATAAATAAACTAACTCATGAGATGTTCCACCAGACCAGTAACCATTGGTGTCCGATCCACTAAAAACGGACCAGAATAGGGATGATCCTGTTTCCATGAGTGATGGTGCATGCGGGAATTGTGCTTATAATAGAGGCGGGTACGGGGCTTTCAGCATNGATCACATGATGACGCACATGGAAAGTGAGCTCACTTTCTGTGTGCTCAGCTGCGTTTCCACCCATTTAGTTCATAGAACCGAAACCGGCTTTCCATCAAAAGACCACTTTTTCCCGTAGCAGGAAAAATATTCATTTAAAGGAGCAGGCCAATTACGGGGATCACTAGGACATCTGAGAACTCCGGCTCCGATAGTTTGAGTTGTTGTGCCGGACTCAATAAATGCTTCAAATTAACCCCAGGTAACACAAAGTTAACTTATCCTCATCCGATGATATCCAGATCACGTTCCACATCGGAACAGTAGTTGGTGGACCCGGGGTGACACAAACCAGTCGATCGATTGGGTTTGTGAAACTAAGTTCTTCCCCGTGGAAGTTCGAGTGACAATCAACATTTTAATTGAATTCTTTTAATCTATAAAAGGCGGGGGCAAAGTTGTTTCTCATTTACTACCAGGTCTCGGTTAGGCAAAAAACGGGAGAACGAAACTCCACCAGTTGAGGAACAGAAAACTGACTTCAATTTATTGCATACTTTTCCGCACTAATTCCAGAATCAAAACCTCACAAAAGATTAATTAAAATGCTTAGTTTTCCCAGTGGTCGGTGGAGAGTATGCGTGGTTGCGAGACAAACCGTATTTGGTACAAAAACCAACAAGAAGCTTTCACTCAGATTAAGTGTTTGTGTTCATTAAATTTGATTGTTTGAGACAAAAAAAGCTGCGAAAACAATTGTTCCTAATTCGCTGTTAAATCGATGAAACAAAAGGCCGAACCAGTCAGGAGATGTTTGCGCGTGTACGTGTTTGTGTTTGTGTGTGTGTGTGTGTGCGTGAAGTGGGGATTGGAAAAATCGGAATAGCCCACATAAACTGGACTTCAGTACGATTTTTCTGAGCTTTTAACTGCAATGTAACATTCTCCGGTCAATAGCTGAAGAAACCTCGATCTGGAAAGCACAAATTAGAGTGTGGTTTAATTTTCCAAAAAGAAAAGTGTGCTCGGTCAGTGTAGACCGAAAATTGAGAATTAATACTATTTGAAAAAGTCGATAACATTTTTTCTCTGCTTGCAAACGGATCTACCAAATTTGGAGTGGCAATCGAGAATGCAGACAATGGGTGAGCCGGGGGGTAAGGAGTTCCAATGAATGCGTCTTACAGACATTCACAGCAGTCCCCGTTAGAGATCACAAGTATATCCCACTACCGCTGTTCTTTAAATCACAGACTCACCTTACGTACTATTTGACTATAGAATTAGGGACATTGAAAGAATAGCAAAGTCGAGGAAAGACGGCTATTCAAAGAGATTTTCTGTGATATGTAAGAAAATTGACTAAATATGTTTTTTTTTTCAAAGTCCAAACCTTGTCATTTTTTGAACAGTCCATTTCGCTCCAGGTTTTGTGCCTCACTGCAAAGCTTGTAACAGCATCAGTGTTTTAGGACAACTGCCCCCGCTTACTTGTGACAACTGACCTCACGAACTTGCGTGTGGACCGCCCCGGTCACGTGGACCCTTGATTGCTAGAATAACCTGTGAAACATGTCCCCGGAATAAATAACCTTGACTTGATTGACCCGGCGTTTTGATCAAATGACTGTAAAACGAGATATTTGGAAGGTAAGTAAGCAGTGAGCGGAAGGATGAGCAAACAAGCCGATTGAGAATTCTGAACGAATTGACAAAAAATGGTCGTGTTTCATTCAACACAAGTGTAAATGTGTTTTTCATGCATCGATTATTGTAGCACCCATTTAAGTATACACACACAGACACGGTACTTAATGACTTCAATTTCTCCGCTATACAGCGATCACCTTCGTGCTGTTTTTGATGATTGAAATAGTTTGTTTTTTCCCTGTTAGTTGAACCAAAGATACCCATGTTTAAATTGCCAGCCTCGGTGCGATTTATCACCACACATAGACACAAAAGTATGGACTCATTTCACATTCGACTGTACACAGAGGCTTACGGGTGCCACCAATTTAGCACGTACACATTCTGTCCGGGTGAACCATCCCTTAGATCAATCGCATGTGCGTTACAACCTAGTGCAACCTACCTGACCGAGTCTCCTCGTCAGGGTTTTCATCCCCCCGTTGTTTGATCACCCTTGGCTTACATCCACCCACTACGTGCTCCGGCAAACATCGCAGGCCGAAGAAGCTTTTCTGATGACATACGTACCACATACCCCAACTAACGCAATCTGTGGAGGTCAACCGCTTACTGCGGTGGGTGATCGCGAATACCTTAACCTCCCCACCCAACCACAGTATCGCTTTCTCAGTTTCCCCACCATCTTCTTGCAACATCACGTAGACAACCAAGATTTGAGACATGGCTACTAAAATGTTGAAAGGCTGTGTTTGATTCGAACGAGATGAAAGCAGTACATTTAAGCTCACACTACATTTACTTTTTTACACAACAAAATTCAATGTATGATTGAATCAAATCCTCCACTACTCTGGAGTAAGAACTATTGTGATGTTTCCGACCGAGTCATGACCTTGGAGGTCAGTGCGGAGATGAACTTGATGGACGGCTGTTAATAGGGTTATGGGATGAGTTCTGGCATATCGAGTATGGCCAGAACGAAAAGTTGTCTGGCCAATTAATTAACCAAGTTCGATTAGCGCTTCTAGGTCTTCGTATTTAACTCACAGTTATTTGATTCATCGTCCGAAATGAGCCGAGCCTGAGAACATCCTTCAACAAACCCGATGTACGTCTTTGGCCTCGTTCAGATGTATACAACAGTGTGCACTTCAAAGGCTCTTATCTTTAGCTAAAGATTATCTCGAGTAAACTCCATTCTTGCAAATGAGAAAACAGTAAATCAAAAGAGAGAATTGCTCAATCAACTAATTACTGGATAGTGTTCTCGATCGGTTTTCGAAGCAAACAATTATTTCTCGCTAGCTACTTCAGTAAACAGTTACCGGAAAATTATTTCGGACAAATTTATCATCTCTGACCATAGGGAGGAAACCAAAATTATACATATCGGATATACTTTGGAGCGTAGTAATTGTCCCCAAAATCCGCTGATCATTTCCTGCACGCTCGCACACACATACACAGACAATGAACCCGATTGTTTTCAAGTTCCCGCTTCTGCACACTATAGAATCGTGTTTTGTCCAACTGCAAAAGAAAGGTTTATAAACACTCCACCATGGTCTGAACAAACACAATTGCACCGACATTCAGAACTATACGAGACCAACACACCATTGTGTTTCGGTCGTATAAACACGAGAACGATACATCTGTTTTGCCGTATCCAGACCGTTTTCTCCATGTCACTCCAGGGTTTTTTCCTCTGCACAGTCCTAAACACAATTCCCTAGATACCAACCTACCGATCTGTTCACAGCCTATGGTAAGAGATGTTACCCTGCTGATGTCAGCTCTGAACAATCCAGAGCAGTGTCTGATATTATTACTACTACTGCCACTACTATTACCTTTACAATAGATGTATATTGCCTTTTATGCGATATTCCGTTTCATAGCCCTTTTACTATTGATTCACGTGTGTGCGCGTCCCCGCAAGCATACGTGCATGCATTTTGCACACACACACACACACACACACCGGCGAGATCGATATACTCGACTTTTGGGCTATTGGCGTTGACCACAAATATTCACTCCCATTTCCACACGCCTTTAACGATCTTCCGCATGTCTATGTGTGTACCTTTTTACTGAAATCTGTGCACATCTAAAACTCCGAGCGTGCAACGTTGTGTGCGTTTATATATACACATATATATGCTTTGTTGCTGAATTGTATTGTATTGTATTGTTATACCTTCTGTAGGCATAATGTGTGTGATGTATGGTGGAGTTTTGAATGAGATCGTACACCCGAAGCCCGTACAGGCGTCAGAGGGAATCTATACCATTTATACGCATGCCTAACAAACTTTTACTTACCGAGCTGAAAGCAAAAGTCGTTCTATCTATAGGTCAGTGGGAATGAATCGGTGCCCAAATACGCACGTACACACTCACACACTTTGGTTCATCAGGAGCTATTTTGTTTGTCAAAGATACCATCTTTGACAGTGTGCATTCAAAGCAGACCAAATCGAAGAGTCAGGATCAGAACGAGCTCAACTGCTCAATCCAAATGTGACCTGAACCATCAATGAAGAGTAATCGACAGTGCGATACGACTGTATCAGAGTCAAGCGCAATAAATGAACTCAGTATAATTATTGAGCTTATGTACACCTTTTCTTCACCTATTCAAACGAAGCGTGTCCCACGAACCGAACTTCCAGGAAGCAAAATAAACCTGAGATTCACTCCAAGCAGACTGGCCAAACTTGAATCGTAGATGTTTTTCAACTGAAATATGATTGGGGTCGATGGCACGACGATAACATATTCACATCCCATACGAGCAGTCCCGAGTTCAAAATACGCGTGGGTAGGTTTCACGACTGATGAACTCTATCCGGCGGTAATTTTGATCATACGGTTAGCTAGATGCGTTGAGAATCATACTTTTAATGTGAATTTTAGTTTATGGTCATTTTGAATCAATACATCTTAGCCAACACCATTATTTACAGTGGCACTCGAGCAAACTTTTTCTACCCGAAATCTCCATTTTCTCTTAGAATTTACATTCAACGGTCCAATATTTCTTTTACCACTACATCCAACTAAGCAGCTGAAAGACAGCAACCTAGACCGCTGCATAAACGTGCACGGTTATTGGTTGTGCAAACTGAACTGAACTGGACCTTGCGGTTAGGCTTTCGTCAAACTAAGGTTTTGGTTGCCAAATGCAATACCTCTACTATTTAGTAGTCGAGCTGTCTAGCAGTACCGCTCCAGAAAGTTCCAAAAATGATTCCAGACTGCTTGCTTAACAGATCCTAGAACAGTAATATTTATGAAAAGAAATAGGTTAATAGATTACTAGTGAGTGGAGTACTGCCAGATTTTAAAGTCTAAAGCAGGCGAATTATCTTGAGGATGCAAAATCAAAGCCCTCTGCAAACAACCGCTTTGCTAGAAGGGCGGCCTGGTGATGTTTATGAACCGTAGTCCATTGGGAACAGGTGTCCGATTCAATAAAACAAACCCTCTTCGGACAGAGTCAAATATCCAATGTTCTCGTCTCAAATTATTTGCAACTCTAGTCTGCTGGAATGCTGCAGTTTTTCGTCAAAAACTGCTTTCGACTTTCCAATCAGTCTGCCACGTCTTCATCTAAATGAACAGCCAAAAGACAGTCAATAAAACCGCTGCACAAAAGTGTATGCTTTATGTTTGTGGAACAAACTGAACCGAAACTTCACTTAGCGACAAATGTGTACCGGTTCGAAGTGAGAACAAACATTATCATTAACTTGTGCTAAACAATGCAAGTCCCGTTGCGGACTCGCGTTAGTAGCGTGAACCGATCGAGCTTAATGGAAATTGCAAATTATTATCATTGGACTTCACAAACAGAACACAGGTGTAGCATTCATTTTTGGTCACTGTGAAGCTCGTCAGTCTGTTTACACTGTTTTTTGTCCATCATTCTGCACAGTCTGTCTGTCAGATGGGACCGCCACAGTGATGGGCTTTCAATTTTAATTGGTCTCTGCCAGAAATATTTGATCGGTTTAGGTGTAAGGTTTTCTGATTACCTCCCAATCAGTTAAGCAAAAAATGAACGGGCCCCAATTTTTTGAGCGAACTGTGAACTTTCCTAAGGATGCATTATCTCAAACTCCCCTATAGTTTGCACAATGTAAGTGATCAACGCAGTGGACTATCACGATCACATCAAATGTCGTGACATTTGCTCCTTTTTCGTCCATGGTCTATCGCCAATTCCGATCCCGAGCTCCGGCTTCCTGACTGTACCGAACTGATAACGTTCAACTATTTTAATAACCACTTGAGAGCTTGATTGAGTGAGGAGGAAGTGCGTCACTGTGTTTTTATATTCTCAGGTTAAACCAAGTTCGTTTGTTCGCTTTGCCGTTGCATAAATCATGTGGGGTTTTGTTGAGGTGAACAGAAAAACATGCTCTCCGATCAAGCCAAGTCAAGAAGCGAATTTATTTCGCCCCATAGGATATGTACATTCAGCTACCACACAATCACTCTTCTGTGGAAATTGCATGCTAAAAAAATACGGATGGTGATACGTTAGATATACAAACGAATAAGAGAAATTTAACAAAGAGAGAGGCCTAATGACACAATCAGCGATGGTAAGAAACCGTGTCAGGTACGGTATCACGGAAGACTTGTGTGTTGTGGTGCGTGCTGCTATATGCTTATACATAGAGCGAGTGCTAGATGAGGAGATACATTGACTAAGATGACGGTACAGTGTATTAATTAGTATTATGGTGGAAGGTTTCTGGCAAGCCCTAACGTGCTGTAAAATAATAAACTGCACAACATGCTCACGAGATATTCCGCTATGTTGACATACGTGTTTGATGGATGTGGGGAAGGATACAAGAGAAAACAAAACGCTTTATCAAGTAAGTTGCGTTGGATAGCATTTTCAAACGAAAAATGTAAAAAGTGAGTTTTCTGACTTTGTGAAATGTCTCGACGACATGAGGAGACCAAGAAAGATTGCGGCAAATGGGTACTCCGTGATATTTGACGGAGCATGCTCTGGCAACTTGTTCTCCATTGATAATGACACCCTGACATGACTTCATTACATCAATGTATTGGTCACCCTTCAGCAAACAAAATAAGACATCATTACACTTGGAAGAATTCATTCTAAGATTGTGTTGTGAAGACCAGTCGGTGAGCAGTGAAATATTCTGCATAAGTTTGGGGTACACGGGGGAATTGGAAAACTTCATGCCATGCACAACATCATTGGCATACTTAATGAGCAAACAATCATCAAAAGCAGGCATTGAATAAATATAGGTTGTGAACAAGAAGAGAGGGAATAGCTCCTTGAAGAACTCCTGCAGTGGAGAGTAAAAGGGAAGAGTTATGATCCATATATTTATTAAACTGTAACCGAAAGGTGAAATAATCACTTGACAGATTGGTAAGCTCTGACTAAATGCCTTTCTCAGAAACAGTGTGAAGAAGTTTGGACCTATCAATACAATTATAGGTATCACTATAATCAAAGAAGCTTACACGAACAGCTTTACATCACTTGTCCAAGGATGAAGAGACACACAGAATAATGGATGCCAATGCATCAATGATTGACCTGGAACTGCAGTAGACAAATTGATTGGGATTAGGTACATTCAGCTGGGACAACATCTTCTGTAGTAAAATCTTTTCCAGGACTTTCAAACCAACAGAGGTGAAAACAACCAGGCTAAATTTGGACGGTCCGTTTTTGGGTACTGGTGTGATAGAAGCCACTCTTCAGTAGTCTGCGGAGTTCGATTGTGCACTCTGTGTGTTGACAATAGAGATTCACCTTCTTCCCCCTCCCTCAAAATAGGTCCCATTCCTGTCTACCTTACAAATTACCACTAACCTTGTATGCATCTCGAGTTTGGTCGCGATCAGCGAAGTTCGCGTCACCGTTTTTTGATGTACGATGATGATGATGATGAATTCACGTCTAGAGAGTGCCATAGTGAGTATTGCAACTTATAGTTTTTGTTTTTCATAAGTTACTGTTCTGAGCTTCATCAGTGACATAAATGCTGTACGCATGTGTGGAACAGAATTAAATAAACTATGGAAGTGCAAAGCATTTACCACAGTTTGTGTATAGGGTTCTGAAAAGCCCACATCATGAACTATTTTTGAACTGTTTCATCCCATCTGCCCTTGATATATTCCATTTTCCAATAATGCTGTCTCTCTCGGTTCACAGGAAGAAGAACCGATTGCAAATCTGGCAAACATCCATTTTTGATCAGTTTCAACCCATCGCGAAGAATTCACTCGGGCAGCGGAAACGATTCGTTCGGATTGGGTGGTGGCAGTGATTTGACCACCTCGGGTGTTCCGCTTGATTTGTCCACCTTGGAACCGTTATGGAATCAGGAAGTGAACTCGTTGTATGGGATCGGCAAATCCGACCTGATCAGTTTTGAACAGGTCACCCAAATTTCAGCGGCAAATATTCGATTTCAAAGATACATCGGTTGTGGTGCGTTTGGGAAAGTTTGGGAAGGATGGCTTCATGTGACCGGTGTGGATGGAGATCGGTTTGAAAAAGTGGCCTTAAAAGTAAGTATCGAATGACGTTCAGATTATCTTATAAAGTCTACTGATGGTCTCTTACTAGAACCATTATAATATTCGCAAAAGATGAATAAAAAATATTTAAGGGGAGAACCATTTTCGATTGTTTATTCCTATGTTTTCTGAATAATATTAGATGCAGGTCTTTCAATAATACTGCTATATTAAAGGGTTATCATTTAATCAGTTTATCAGAGTTGTCGTGTAGCCATATCTCTGTGTTTCAATCGTTACTCTCCACTGATCGGAGCAGTTTGTCAGATACACATCTAAGCCCCATAACCGTCAGGTCGATGGATCGACCATATCTGGTTTCTGCTCCACATCCACTGCATATATTCCGCTAAACGTCACCTGAATGCAATGTTCGTCACTCCTTCCACGAATGCTATTGTTAGAGAGTCTCTGAGGTTTCTCCGCTCTCGGTGAATGTCAGCAAATCAATCGCGGGGCGGTGGAAGCCCGGGGGTAACGTCACCAAATTATCACCCCGGAGGACGAGTGTTCGAACCCCACTACCACCGCCTGACTTTCCCCATTTGTGTGTTGTATGGCAGCACTTTGATTTGCCGCTTCCCCTTTCCTAAAAAATTGTATCTTTACGCATTCAATAAAAGGAAGTAAAAGAAAAAAAAGAAAAGTAGCTAAAGATTCTGCAGCATGGTACCGTGCTCCGGATGTGTCGCTTCGTGCAATAAGAAAAATGGTGCTGAAGCATTTAGTCTATGTCGTCAAGCAAGATCTTTCGCATTCTAGCAAACCAACAGCACACAATCCGGTTGCTTACAGACGACTTTCATAACTGTTCCGATATAGTCTAACAGTTGTTTTAGTGGCAACATACTATACGTGCTCCGACTTGGTCAAATGTGAGCA